ACGTTTTTAATGAAATTGTACTCTAGGTTTATTTCAAACGGGCATGTAATTTCCGCTGCTATAAGCCAATCTAAAGTGAACACGCGCAAATGGTTTCCACTTAAATTAATTACTTTTGAGTTAAGCTTCCCACCTTCGTAAATTTCTGGTTGCAACTCTCTGATATAATTAAGACTGCCGGCTAAAACCGGATTCAGGCCCATATTGTTGTACCGAAAATTTGTCAGTGGCCTTGGTGTTGTATTGACGGAAGTCTCAATGCTCCAAATAGTTTGCAGTTGATTCTGACTTAAGTCTAGCCTATGTAGATGATGAAGCGGTTTCAGATTTTCCATAACATTTGTTGTATCGTGCAAGTGATTGCCACCAAGTTTCAATTGCCATAATAAAGGAGTTTGATTGAAAAGGTGTGGCGTTAAATATGTCAATGAATTGTGACTCAGATCCAGTATTAAAAGTTGACGCTGATTTGCAAATAGATTTTCGGGCAATTCCCGAATTTCATTACGGCTCAAATTCAGACAATTCAATTTCGTTAGCCCTACAAAGATATTTGCGTCCAACATTTGCATATTATTTCCGGCTAAGTCAAGTAGTCTAAGCGCTCTGAAGTTTTCAAAGTGAGCTTGCGTCAAGTTCTGCAGCGTTAAGTACTGGTTTCTTAGACCTTTGACGCTAAGAGCAAGCGTTAACATTCGGTAATTATAATGAAATATGCGAGTTGGTAAACTTACAATATCTGCTGTTGATTTTATAATTAATTGTAGGTGAAGCACATGTGGAATTCGATAAAAATCTTCCGTTGGTTCTGCAGCAAAGTCAGTGTAATAGACTAATGTTACCTTATTTGGCTCCAAAGTATTTGTTAGAATTTCCCACACAATACCATTCATATAGATTTCATGCGTAAAATTTTTGCAATCACTTACTTGCAAGTAACGGGTTTTAAGTAGAATTGACTGAAATTTTCGCTGGAGTATAAAATTGACATTAGCTTTTGTTTCTACGGGACATTCTACCAACAGGTTCCGGAATTGTGAAAAAAATGTGATGTAAATACCACTGAGTTCGTCGGAAATATTACAAGAGACATCTCCATTGCAATCACAAGCAGTATCCTCATTCATATAGCAATCGGGGGGCCAAAAGGAAACTGTTTCAATAGCAGTTTTGAATAACTTCGTTTCGTTAGTGTGCGCCAAGAGAAATTTCTGGTTTGTGATCAGTTGAATTAGTATGTAGGCGAGTACTATGTACATTTTGCCTACTTTCAATGTATTTAAATTTAATAATTTGCTGTTATTATTTTTATATTTCGTCCACAATAAATCAAGTTTGTAGACCAACTCGCTTCCACTTACTGAAATACTAAAATATAATATCGAATTGGTACGCTTTAAAAAACTAAATCGTATTTTAATTCCTTATCAAAACAAAAAAAAAATGTGAAAACCGCAATCTTTTAAAAGACTCGTCTTAGTAAGTATGGTTTGTTTGTTCCTCTAGTAATAAAGAAAACCAAACGTTTATGTAATAAATTTTACTTCCATGGAGCTGATTAAATCTGTACAAATAGTACCGCCATTAAAAGCGTTAAGCGAAGGCATAGTGACGTAATGTATCACAATAAATTCGGATATTTGTGATTAAACACTTTTAGCGAATAACTCATATGCACTGGAGTCCATATATTTGGTGGTGTAAGTTGTAATAGGACTGATGGCTTTATTGATATTTGATTTACATATATACTGTGAAGTGAAAGAATCAGATAAAATTTAAGAGTGGGTTATATAGAAAGTAGGTTGGGCTGTCATCCGATTGCGCTCATATTCACAGTAGTACACTGAATAAAAAATAATAAGACTTTGTTCATAATTTTAAAATTCATAATTTATTCTTCAAAATCTATGTCGCCCCCACAAAGTAGTTCCCCTTGGCCCTAATACACTTTTGTCAACTTTTTTTCCATTCCTCGAAACAGTTTTAAAGTCAACTTCCGGAACAGTCTTCAATGCGCCTAGCGACTTACGCTTAATATTTTCAAACTGTTTCCATGGCGCGCGTTTGAGTTTGCTAACTAGCCCGAAGAAACAAGAAATAGGGAAGAAAAACTAATGAAGAATCAATGTTGTATGCGGTGCAAAAACCGTATCTCCGGCCTCTTCTTGCGAATAGTTTCATGCAAATGGCACATAAAACTTATACAGTATTCCTTGTTGAAGAATTTCCTTGGAAAGGATTTTTGAGTGGAGTCTACCTCGGTAATCAAAGAAAACTGTCAACATAACCTTGATTTTTGGCCTGATTTGATGATTTTTTCGGCTTCGGCTAACTTTTGCACCATTCGACAAAGATCCAAGATTCATCGCCAGAAAAATAGTCTTTCTAAAAGGGTTTTTACTGATCTTCCCCATATTTCAAGGATACGGGCATCTCTGACTGTTAATCGCTGATTCTCAAGCACCAATTGTGTTTTTCATTCACATGTTTATCATCAGTTGATGTTGATAGCCGAGGTGGTTCATCGTCAATGTGTTCTTCAACCCTTTAAATAATTTATACCAATCAAAATTACCCATACTTCATTCACTTATTTCAACAATTCATACCCTGAGTAGTAAACACTTTCAGATATTTTTCACCGGTAAGAAATAAGATAATGTTAAACAAAATTTGAATAATTAAATGACCCCAGCATAGTAGCAGGATAAATAAAATAAATATTATAATAAAATAATAACTTAAATAATAATAATGGCAAAATCAGTAAGAATAAGTATTGTCCGAAAGCCATAAAAGCTTTTACTCACAGAAGACTTGAGCACTGTTTCTTGCAAAAGAACCGTCAATCAACTTCGCTTGTAATATATTATATTAGGTTGTCAAAAAAGTCTTGCGGTATTTTCGCTAGTTGGCGCTGAGAGCGCGTAGTTCCAATTTTATTCGTCGCATCGTGTCATGCTATACCTTTTTGGAAAGCTCATTTCACGCGCTAACACATGTTTGATTGATTGTCGTTTCTTTTAAGTCGTTCGTGAGTTATAGCGTCGCAAACATGTCGCCAGTAAAATTTGTGCAGTTTATGGACCCGATACCGTTTCTATTTCCACCGCACAACGATGGTTTCAACGTTTTCGTTCTGGTGTAGAGGTGGTCGAAGATACGCCACGCTCCGGAAGGCCTGTCATCGAAAATTGCTGTCCATTATTAAGATCGCTGAATTGGTCGAAAGAGACCGGCATAGTAGCAGCCGTAGCATTGGTCAAGAGCTGGGCATGAGTCATCAAAAAAAAGTTAATGAACAATTGAAAATTGAAAAAAAAATTCAATAAAAATACCGCAAGACTTGTCCGTATGTTGGAAACTCCTTAATGCTATGATACAAACTTTCTTCGCTTTTAGTCGTTTTAGTCTTCGTTAATATGTATAAACTTGGAAGTCTAAAGAAGTTTGTGGAAACGCGTCTGCTTTGAGACAATAAGATCTGCTCGTAAGCATATATAAACTGAAACTTAGGCGAGGAAAGCTTTCAGAAGATCTGAGTGAGCAAGTTTATGCAATTTTCTATGTGCCCATTTGCTATTAAAACAAGTAAAGGAGGAATTAATGTCAGGAAAATACCATAAAGATTAAATGTCAACCAGAGGATTGGAGTCTAAACAATTTTATATATGTATACTGAAAAATCTCAAGCTTTTTCGAGAAAAGTTAGTCACTTGGGACTGCGTGAAAACTAGCCGAAAAAATATAACGATCGATCTCGATTGCTCTTCTTACACAATTTAATTCTTTATTTCAGGAATTTTATGACTTAGCCTAAACCTTAACCTACAGCTTAAACTAACAGAACGCCTAAGAATGTTTTTACAAAAAGGGGTAAGTAGAATTCATTTCGTTACATTATGGTAGAAAATTATGGTGAGTATATAAAACAGTATTGTTAGGTTTATATAAATAAACTAGTTTAGTATTATATTTAAAATATTGGTATTGTTATTTAAAGGATGTCGGTTGACGCAACACCGGCCACCTTGACAGGATCATGACCCTTAACGTTGATGTGTAGCAGGGCGAGCTTATGAATGGGCGGCTTGATTGTGCCAGCTTTCGTTGTCACGTCTGCCACTCACACCGTACCCACTGCTGTGGTGGTCTGTTGTCTTCGTGTACGAGGCCTGCAAATTCTGCTCCGGATGTAGCCATTTGTTGAACTCCTGAAGGCTCGTGAGATATGTTTTGTACTACTGCTGCCAAACCTGTTGCTTGAGACAGCAAACAAGTTGACATCTCTCGCAACAAGGAATTATGTCCGCTGGCACTTGTGCTGGTGGCAGTGCTCGTAGAGGGCAACCGATCAGCAGGTGTGCTGGAGTTTGTGCTTATCCATCGTTGGGGTCCTGGCTCAACGGTGCTAGTGGACGCAAGTTGAGAATGGCTTCTACTTCGGCTAGTACTGTTAACAGCTCTTCTGAGGTGAGAAGAGCGTTGCCAAGTGCGCGCACTACCAGATGTTTGGCAGATTTCACCTCGGCCTCCCATAATCCACCGAAGTGCGGCGCCCTGGGTGGTATAAAGGTGAAACTGAATCCTTCTTCTGCGGCGAATTGCTTCACACCTGTTGACTGAGCTGGAAATGCCTCTTTGAACTCGCGCAGGAATCCCACGGTGACCAATGAACCTCTTTAGGGCAAAAATAAATGTATTAGTCGATAAGTCAAAAACTAATTCTAAGTGTATTGCTTTCGAAGTAAAGCACACAAAAACTGCAATATAAGTTTTCACGGGTTCGACCACGTATTTTTAATGTTGTATATATTGGACCACAAAAATCTACGTCACATGTAATGAAGGGTCGTAGCGATCGAAGTCTTTCGACTGGCAAATTTCCCATTATTTTATTTTGCAACTTCGTTTTGTAATGAAAACAATGTATACAGTTTGTTACGGTTCTGCTGCATGCTTCTCCTGCATTAAGCAGCCATATATGTACGTTCTCGAAGAAGCGCAACCAGCGCTTTTGCTCCAGCAGGGTAATTGCTAAAGTGCAGAAACCGTAAATAAGTCGTAACAAAGTGCGAATTTTTATTTAGTAATAGTGGAAATTCGGCATCATATGGGAGAGGTGCATTTAAAAGGCATCCTCCTACTCGGATTAATTTGAATGAAAGCGACTTAGCCGAGTACTCATGTAAGAACGGATTTAGTTTTTGCAAGTTTGCCGGTAGCGTAATGCTCTTAGTCAGTTTTTGGATTTCATTCGCAAATTCCGAATGTAGAATAACCTGAACAATTTTCAAAAAACTCAAGTGTAATTCGTTAGATGTCAGATCCCTACCATCCGTAGGGGTTTTTGGTCGTCTGATCTATCGTAGTAAATATGCGACCAAACGAAGCAATTGTTATTGTGTTATCTTTCACATTTATAGTTAGCGCAAAAGTATTTTTCTTATTTTATAATGCCTTATCATCTGGGTAGAGCTGGAAGTGCGTGCTAATTGGCCATAATGTAAGGTCTTCTAGGAGGAACTGTGGACCGCCAAACCATATCGATTTATTCAATTCGTCCACGTTACAACCCCAAGGCACTTGATCCGCAGGATTTTGGTTTGTTGGCACATGCCGCCAATGCACTTTGTCAGTCAACTCTTGGATTTCGAACACTCTATTTGCGACGAAGGTTTGTAATGAGGAAGGATGAGTTTTTATAAATTGTAAAACAATTTCATTGTCTATAAAAAAGGTAATTTGTTCGAAATGTCATTTCAACATAGGCGCAACTCTTGACCGTAATTTTGAAAGAAGATGTGCTGCCGTGAGCTCGAGACGAGGAAGAGATTTTGTCTTCAGCGGAACCATTCTAGATTTTGCAGTAAGCAGCATACATTTAATACCACTAGCAGATTGGTTTCGTATATCTATGCAGCATCCGTACGCTCTTATTGAAGCGTCGGAGAACCCATGTATTTGACAGATGACACTCTACTCTAAGTTCACGTAATGAGGAATGCTAATTGTTGAAAGCTGCTTTAGGTTGACTTTAAAATTCTGCCAGCTAGTGTTGAGGCGCAATGGAGTCGACTTATCCTAATCTAGTTTTTGAATGCAAAGCTCTTGCAATAAGATTTTTGCTTTGGTAACTAGTGCGGCTAATAATACAATAGGATCAAAAAGGCGAGGAAAAAATTACAATATGTTTCGTTTTGTGGCTCGCAGCTCATTAAAATTGTCATTTAAAACAAATCGAAGCACTTTCTGC